TTTCTAAATATTATGAACTGTGACGTTATTATCAACCATCAATTAGGCATCACCATATTCATAATTTTAAAGAATAAAGACTGATGGCGAAAGAAAAAGATGAACTATGCTTGATTAATTTTTTGTGTGTCATGTATTATTGTGATTGGTTGAAATTATCTAAAAGATTTCATTAGGTATCTTTTTCTGAAAAAAGGCCAACAGTCAATGACGCCCTCGATTGCTTAGTTTTGTGTGCATATTCCATTTATCCAACTTAATATTAAATTATAAATTAGCTTCTGCCCGTACGCGCCATCCCGTTTCTCCCATCCCTTAGAATTTTCAGGATTTGTTTCTGTCATAGGAACCTTGTCCTGACAATAACAAACACAACAAAAAACAATCAGCCAACTCGGTCTAGCCGTTCTCAAGTTATGGCGTGACAACGGGAAACGGGTTTCATAAAAATGAAACCCGTATATATATAAGATAAGATAAGATAAGATGCGGAAGTTTGTGTGGATGTATGTGTGTGTGTGTGTGTGTTTTTGTTTGTTTGTTACTCTTTCACGCATAAACGGTTAAACGGATCGGGATGATATTTGGAACAGTGGTCGATTATAGTCTGGAATAACAAATAAGTTAAGGACAAAGCCGCTTGCAGAAGCTAGTATGTTATAAATAAAAGCTTACAGCATTAGTTATAGAATTTGACATGCCGAGTGCTCATGTTGAGTACCCTGTTGCTACCGTCGCACCTAAACACGTCGTGCGTACTGACGGCAGGTCACGTAGGCCACGTGGGCCCGATGACGTACCTCACGTAGCGCCAGGACCCGTCGACAGGAACGGGCGCGTCGTCTCCTTGTTTGAATCCAACACCGACCGTTACACAGAAATGAAAATATTCAAACGTATTCAATAAAGATGTTCTTTAATGGTGTCTTGACGAGCAGTGGACAAAGATGTGCAGTCAATGCTCTTGTCTCTAAACGTACTGTTACATTATTGTGTTCTGTTCAAAATATCAGATCCAAAACACTTTTATTTGCCCTAACACTGTCTTTGTTAAATGTATCTAGTTCTTTTATCGCTAGCATGCTGTGTATGTCCTCGTACACATACATTTCCTACACGTTTCATAACAACGGCTTTTTATTTAGTACTCCTAATTTAGTAACATTTCTAGCTTCTTCATTAATGTGATCGTTCTCAGTAAGCAGTCTATTAATTTCATTTTAATGTTTAAAAGTTCACAAGATCATCAATAATAAACTGATTTGTAACAAATTGTCCTTTTGCTTTGCATAACTTTAGATTTTTTCTGCAATATTCAGACTCTAAGAACGGTTTTGATTGATTGTTGAATCAAAAATGAATGTCGTGCAATAAAATAGTTGAAAACAGTTTAAAAGCTTGCTCCGCATAAAAAACCTGAATAGCCTTGATTTGATGTTGTTCAATGTGCTGATTTGTGGTGCTGTTACAGATGCACAAGAAATAATGTTACAAAACTGCTATGTAAGAACATGTTACGCTTGCGCCGAGCTTCATTCAGCAAGATGAGTATGTACGGCATGTTCCACGTGGACGCTGCGTTACAGGAGGGCAGCATATAAGTAGTAGGGAGTGCCTCCGCTGCCGGCGCCGGTTGCCAAAAATATCACTATTGGAAACCGGCGGTAAGTATACTGCCGGCATCCGAGATTTAAAACAACGGCTGCCGGCGCCGGCACTCAAAATGGCAGCTGGTGACAATGCGCAAAAGGCTGGGTTCCAGTGCCGGTAAACAAATATAAAAAAAACATAACCTCAAAGATTCGACTTTGTTCTTTAGTTTGTGCTGTTTGTTGTATTTATTGTTTGTCTTACGTTTATCGTTACGGTTTGGAAAAATGAAAGTCGGTGACGAATATGGGTTAGGTTAGGTTTTGTTTTGTTTTATACAGCAGGAGGGGAAATCCTCATGGAAACTCACACCTCCCCACGAATAGAGAGGTTCGGCCGGCCACCGAAGGGCCGGTTACCGAATAGACTACCGGCGCCGGCAGCTAGTCCGGCAACCGGCACCGGCAGCGGAGGCACTACCTAAGTACAGTGCCGGATTAAGCCAGCGCGGGGCCTGTAGCAAATTCTGTTTAGGGGCCCTTGGTTTGCTATCGGTTCTCATTTGGGCATTGACTAAATTTGGTGCCTTTCTTTTTTCTGGCGTCAGTCGATGATTTATGGAAGATATTGTCTGGAATGATATCACAAACGAAATTGTCCCCAT